CTCTTTCAATTGTATAATCTCTTCAATGAGTTTATCTGCCAGATTCTTGGATTGACGGGGCATTGGCTTAGTCTGTGCAACCAGTTGAGCAGCCCATTCCTCTCTTAGAATATCTTCAGTGATATCTAACTCTGCCAGCTCATCTAAAACACCAAGAGCTTCTGACTTGTGTGTTTTCATGGAAACCCATTTACCTCTGAGCCAATCTCCAAGATTCAATAGTGACTTCTTATCTAGATGCTTCACTTGAGTATCCAAGGTATAGAGATGGTTATAGTATCCAGTAACTCTCAGTGATGGGATGAGCAGTTTAATTGAGCTCCAAAAGTGCTCACAGCCCTCACCATCTGTAAGTCCAAAGCCTATACATTTTCTTGGGTGATAAATGAGCTGGCAAGCCCATTGATGGCCATAAGCATGAAACACTGATATAGCCCAGATGAGTCTATCATGGAAGTCTTTCAGAAAGCCCCATTTAATACAACTACGATGAAGCTGACAGCCAATATCATAGAGCACACCCACTCTAGCAGTCGAGGGTAAATGGTTGAACAAACGTTCTAAAAGAACCAGAGCATAGTGCTGCTTCTCTCCTGCAGAAGTCATGTTTACCAGCCATAAGACATGATCATGTCGACAGAGAAGAGCCATAAGTCCAGTATCAGAAAAGAACTGAGTGCTAGCTTTTACTCGTTTTTCATCTGCAGCAGTAAAAGAGTCTCCACACATGTTCAGCACAGAGTTTGGAACTTTGAGTCCAGGCTCACACAAATCAGGATTTTCATCCTTCTGAGGCTGTAAAGGAGTATCTTGTGATTTTTACCTTTTGAACCAGACTTGGGCTCTGGGCGGATTTCATTGACTATATCCTCCATTGCCTTGACATCTTCTGAAGAGACGAATGCTGTATCCGGGTGCTTACGAGGGGCAGGTGGCTCTTTACCCTGAGCCTTGCGCGACTTTTGCTTGAAACAAGCATCCAAGCATACAATGAAATCAACCCTTACAAAAAAAGTTGAGATCACAATAATAGTGTTGCCAACAAACTCCACATACAAATCATCAGGCTTTGACCAATCTTTTCCACCAAAGCACAAAGGACACCGTCCTCTCAGATAATCACTTGGTCTTTCCAAGTTTGGTGCAGCAGTGTGTATATCCTCATCTAAACATTTGCTCCAGTATGTACCTTTCACTGGACAAAAAACCACATACCGATGTCAATATTATCTTCTAAAAAAATGTGAAAACAGTTAGATATAAAACTTTTTCTGAGCCAAAAATGAGGGAAAAAAAACCTTGATAAATATTATCTGTGTTACACAAAAAAAGAATTAGCATAAGAAGTTTTCACTTAAAAGAAAATAAATACTATGCCCTATCAGTACTTCGGCAGACCCTCTCAGTCGGCACTTTCCTGATCTCGAACTTTCCACAAAATTTCTTGCCACAAAATTTGAGACAGGGCCTCCTGCGTATAATCCAACCTATCTCCGCTTTTTTTCGTCTAAAAAAACGAAGAATTGGCGAAGTTCTGTTTTTTGGCCAGTCACGATCTGTCACGTTCATCCGCCAAAAAATGTGACATTTGTGACCGCCGACTGAGAGGGTCTGCCGAAGTACTGATATAGCATAGTACCATCAGCCATTTCAATGTTTTCATCTGCAAAAAAAAGTTTTATTGTCAGCAGAAAGATTTCTTATATCAAGAGCAAAAACAGAAACCTTGTTCCATTCCAACATTTTTATCTTTTCAAAAAAAGTTAGAATTACACAAATCTTTCTGATTAAAGAAAAAAACCTTGGTCCATTTCTTCATCTGTGAAAAAATGTTTGAGTTGCAGCAGAAATATATTTTGACTGAGCCAGAAAAAGAAATACCTTGCTCAATCTCATAGTCTTCTGTTTGAAAAGTTTTTAGTTCCAAGAAACATTGTCGTAAGCAAGAAATACCTGAAACTTTGATTGAACTTCTCATGTCATCCAGATAATTGTTGACAAGAAGGTTCTTCTTATCAATCAAAGTAGCATACCACTGCATAGCACTTCCAAAACGACGACACAAACTATTCTAAAGTAAAAGAACTTTTCAGCAAGGAAAAACATTGACAGAAAACAAATAAAACATACCCAAGTTGTTAACTTGTATCTTCTGTTTCGAAGAAAGGTCTCCAAGGTTTCACTTCAGTCACCCACCTTGACCAAGCTATTAGCCTTGTAAAATGTAAGAATGTATCCAGGCTAATAGGTTGTGTGACCATTTATTTTTTTGCCTTTGGGAGAAAATATAATATTGGATTGGGTAGAATATGTTTGACCTTTAATATTATGACCAGAAATGTTTGGGTACATAAATTGTGTTCAAAAATATCCTAGTCAAGTGAAAGTGGTCAGAAATGTTTGAAGGGTGTCAGACTGGTAAGAAATGTTTGAAGTGTGTCAGACTGGTAAGAAATTTTTGAGCTAAGTCAAACTGGCCAGAAATGTTTGAGGTGTGCCAGAGTGGCTAGAAATGTTTCAGTGGTGTGACATCGCTCAGATATGTTCTAAGCATGTCACACTGCTGAAAAATCTTTTAGCCTTGTCACATGGCTCAAACATATCTGACCAGTGTCACAGGGTATCTGGGGTCCCAGTTTCAAGAAAAAAACTTGGTTTTTCTGGTGCAGTTTTCTCAATATTTTGTACATTGGTTTTTTTCCCCTCAAAACTCATCTGAGTTTGTTCTCACCAATACCCTGCTTCTATCTGCCATGTTCACCAATCTCAGATTGTCTTCACCAACACCCCACTTCTAAGGTAGACGACTTTCATAATCGTCAAACGTCATGTGACCAATGTGACAGCTGCTAAAAAGGGTAATGTTTCACAAAATTCGACTGTATATATAATTCTAGGGGTCCTATTGTACCATAAGAACCTAGCTTTTGTAGATAAATATCCTGGACACATGAATCAGTAAAAAAATTGGAACAAAGTTCAGTTTTGGTAAAGGAGATAGAAAAATACAGTCACCATTAGTATACAACTAATTAAGCCCCCTTGCTGTCATGTCGTGTCTCCAAAAGCATTTTTATCTACCTCATACTCGCAGTTAGGTCCTGAAGATTCATGGATGCATATGAAAGAGGCTTAGAGGCTTGAATGGTCAGTAGGCGGCATGGTGCAGCAGTGGCGCCTGAGTGTGGCGTAAATACAAGGGGCATTGTTCTCCCAGATAAGATATCATGAGGGAACTGGGAAAGAAGGGAATTGTTCAAACCCATGTCACACAACATTTAGCATACTTATCTCATTATCTGATCCAGCACTGTTAATAGTCTGTTATATTAAGTGTCAATTTTGAAAATGCATAGGCTCAGTCAGTTTTTCTCCAAGTTGCTCAATTTTTTGCAGAGGCATTGACATTAAGTAGATCTATGGAAACTAGGTCCGTACTGCATTCAAAATCGAGTAGGAAGAGCTCAAATTATTTCTCAGTTGTTTTATTACCTGATTTGATCAAGATGTAACAGTAAAGTAATGGCATGTGACGTTTGACAATTATGAAAGTCGTCTACCTTATCAGTCATGTTCACCACTCTAAGGTTGTCTTCACCAACACCCCACTTCTATCTGTCATGTTCACCACTCTAAGGTTGTTTTCACCAACACCCCACTTCTATCTGTCATGTTCACCACTCAAAACTCATCTAATCCCCAAAACCCCTGCTCAGTGTCTCTCTCACCATCTTTCTCTCTTGCATTGGGCCTTGTCATATGATTCCATTTTTTGACCACCGTCTCCTCCACCTCTGCCTCTACTTCAGCTCCCAGATCTCCAAGTGCATCTTACCATCCCCCCCAGTCAAACCCCCACATGTCTTAACTTGTAGACCAAATCTGAAAGATATTATGAAGATTTCTTAGCCAGGCAAACATGTGGAGTGAGTGAGAGATACTTCACAAATTTAAATATTTCTTTGCAACTCAAACATTTCTTAACCTGTTAAAAATATCCAAAAGATAGCATAAAGATTTCCTAGCCTGGCAAACATATCTGCACTTGATGAGAGATATCTGACAAATATTTCTCTAGAACTCAGACATGTAGAAAATATCCAAAAGATATCATAAAGATTTTCTTAGCCAGGCAAACATATTTGATCTTGATGAGAGATATCTGACAAATATTTCTTAGCCAGGCAAACATATTTGAACTTAATGAGAGAAATCTCACAGATATCTCTTTGGAACTGAAACACTCTTGACTTGGAGAAAATATCCTGAATCAGATAAACATCTTTAAGAAACTTTCTTTAGCCAGCCAAACCTTTCTGACTTGATCAGAAATGTTTCCCAAGATATATTGGGTAGCCAAACATTTCTTAACCTGACAGAAGTCTTTCTCCTTTTATAAAGATTTCCTAGCCCAACAAACATTTCTAAACCTCATAAGAAATATTTCACAAAGATTTCTTGGGAGTCCAAACATTTCTAGGAAATTTTCTTGACCAGTCAAAGATTTTTCAACCTTGGGCAGAAATAACTTACAAAGATTTCTTTCCTGAAGGCATATATTTTCCAAATATATCCTGAAACAAGATCTTGGTAGATTTATCTGCAGAATTCTGGATTTCATTCAATACAACTATATAAATTTACATTACTACATTAAATATTATATGTGAAGGGGAGAGGGAGTGGAGGAGTGGTAGGTAGTGAGTAAGAGGGGTGAGGGTGGTGGGCAATGAGGGAGAGGGGAAAGGGGTGGTGAGCACTGAAGAGGAAGAGGGGGAAGGAGGTGGGTGGTAGGCAATGAGAGAGGGGGAAGGGGGTTGGTAGGCAATGATGGGGGGGGGTTGGTAGGCAATGAGTGAGAGGGGTGGTGGAACAGTTAATGAGAGGGAGTGAGGGTGGAGTATTGAGCCTCGATCCCGGGTGTGGGTGGGTGGGGGGGTCATA